CGCGCGCGGCACGATGGCGCCAAGCTGACGCCGCGGCGTGGCCTGGGCGGGCGCCGCCAGACAAAGCAGCAGCAGAAACGTGACCACCATCTAACTGAGGCTTGGCGCGTTCAGCGTAGCTGCCAACGGCCTCACTGAGGCGCTTGAACTGGGCTCACAACCCGGCCCCCGCTGCTGGGGGCTCTCGGCCGAACGCCTCGCGGTAGAAGGTAGAAGGCCTGCATGTCTTCGAGGTGTCCGTCGTCGGGCGGCACGGCCACGTCCGCAGCGTTGTGCTGGCCTGCCCCCTCACCCCCATCGGCAGGCGCTTGCGCGGGAGGCCCTGGCGGGGCTTTGTCTCGGCCCGCTGCAGCACTGTCGAGCTGGCGTAGCTTCTCGAAGTTGTCCTGGGTCGCCGAAGCCAGCGCAGGGCCCGCTCCGATTGCACCGAGCATCTTGCCAAGCTCTGCCACAGACATATCCAGGGCGGGGGTCGTGGCCCGCAGAGAGTATACCCCCGCCTCAGGCTGCGGCGCCACAGCGGCAGCAGCCCGCCTGGCTGCCGCAGCCTCGACCAGCTCGCGAGAACTGTCTGCCAGGGCGCGCTCAAACTCCGCGATCTTGGCAAGGATCTTGGCAGCTTCCTCGCCGAGCTGCTCGACGATGGCCTGCCGCCGCTCCATCTTTTTCTCGAGCGCGGTACACCGATCGGCGAGCTGGTGCATCTGCGCCCCGATCGGCTTCTCCGAGGGAATCTTCTCGCGCAGCCGAGCTTGCTCGGCGAGCAGGGCTGCCTTGCTGTCGAGCAGGACCTGGTCCTGCGCATCGCCGAAGGCCTTGAAGGCATTGGTGACCCTCTCGAGCGCAGCCTTGTCCGCCGCCGCAGAGGATGTGGCACCGCCGCCGACCTCCATGGCAGCACAGTGTCCTCCGCCAGTGGGTTTGGCAGACTGCGTTTCCTTGAGCTTGGCCGCGGGCGACTTGAGCTCACGGCCCTTCGCCTTGACGGTGTTCCTGAGCTCGTCTGCTTCAGAAGCTGCACGCCGCTCAGCCGCGACCGACGTCGAAGGTGCATCTGAGCCTTTGGTCTTGGGCCCGAAGAAGGAAACATCCTTGTCCTGGCCACACGATCGACATTGCTTGAGACCCGCTATGTTTCACCAGCGTTGACCTGTCCGCTCATCAATGCAGTGCTTGCACAGCCACGGCAGTGCCTGCGAGAGACGGCGCTGCTGTTGTCCATTCGTAGACAGAGAAAGGGACGGACAGGGAGCTAGCGTATGGGGGAGTAAACGTGAAAAAGGATATCTCCAGCCTGGGCAGGCACCTGTGGAGACACGAGAGCTGTGAGGGACGCTGGCCCCCCTTGCCAATGCCATGCCTGAGCAAACCGCTACGGACTTCAGCCAACATGGCTACGGACAGGAGGAGGAGGAGGAGGAGGAGGAGGAGGAGGAGGAGGAGGAGGAAAAGGAGGAGGAGGAGGAGGAGGGACGGACCGCGCAGTGCTCTATTCAAAACGAGAGCCCAACGCAGGAGGGTTGGGCAAAATTACGTGGACCCCCAGGAAGGTCCCCAGACCTCCAACGTATTGAAACATTCAGCTCGGAAGTCATTTTCCATCCTCGGCCTCTGGGGGCCCTCGCCGGGCACCAGGACCGCAACACAAAACGACTCGCGATGAGAGGCTGGCCCTGGGGAGCGGGTCGGGACTTCCGGGCACCCTGCATGGCAACCTCGTTGGACGGCGCCCTTCTGGCTCATTCCCCCTGGGTGCACTGCGACGCCGCACCGCGGCAGCAGCCAGCCAGGGGCTGCCCCTCAGCCCGGCCGTCCCCCCCCCCCCCTGACCTCTCGCCGCAGCCCCGCTGCGTGAGAGTGCCCCCGCGCCCAGCTCCGCCCTCCGAGGCCGGCTTCTTTTTTTCTGCTCTTGGGCAAGCCAGTGGGCCTCGGGGACCCGAAGCGGCAACGAGGCTGGCCTCTCGCCTTCCTCCCCCCTCTTGGCATGCCGGATAAATTCGCGAAGCAATGCCCGGGTCGTGCTCTGCTGCCGCGCTGCGACGTAAAAACATGTCTGGGTTCACCGCCTCCGCAGGTAGGGCCACATCCCGGGGCCAATTGAGCTTTGAGGCTGGCGCGTGACACGCGCATTGCTATCCACATCTCGGATGGCGCCCTCGTGCGCTCGCTCGCTCGTCCTGAACCGGCAACGCCCCTTGTGGGACGAAAACGTGGCGCCTTCCCCTGCGCAGCTCCAGCAGAGCTTGTCTTTAGGCTCTTCCTCCTCTATCGTCGTCGTCGTCGTCGTCGTCGTGGTGGTGGTGGTGGTGGTCGTGGTCCTCGTCGTCAATGTCCTCCTGCACGACGTCGTCGTCGTCGACGTCGACGTCGACGTTCCCCTCCTCTCTTCCATCCCTCGGCTAGGGCGGCTTTCTGCATCGGCCACCCTTGCCACACGTTTTGGGCATCACTCGCAGAGCCGCAGCTGCCGTCATGAGCTGCCCAATCAATCAAACACTACATTCGACAGGCGAACAGTGAATGTGTAGGGGACTGGGCACGCGACCGTTCAACCCCATGTACCTGTTATTGCCGAGATCTGTTCGAAGTTGCTTCCCAAGATGAGATGGTGTTCGCGATTGGGAGTCACTGATTGAAATGCCCCTGGTCTCACGCTCTTTTCAAGCCCCAACTAAGAGGAAATGTCCTTGCCGCCACCACCACTACACCAGCAACAATGACAAAACTGTACATGATTGACTATAATTTTCTCCCCTGTCACTGGCGCCAAGCCGCCAACTCTGCCCCACGACTGGGGCCGCCAGAAAAAAAAACGGCGTGGCAAATGATGTTGCTTGGTCCGTTCCCCCCACCCGCATCAAAAAATATCAAAACTGGCATATACCAAAGGGTCTTCGGTTCCGCTTTACTGCCCCAACGGTGGGCATTGCTTGCGGGTTGTATAATCGTACCGTATAATACGGATGCGCTATAAGGATGGCCATGTTAACGTTTCTCAAATGAGGTTGGCCAGCGAAAGTCCCTAAGGATGGGCCGAAGAGGCAATGATGCAACGGTGCCCCGCAGCCTGTAGGGAATCAGCCTGCGGCATTCCTGTTCGGCGGCGCGCAGGGGGGGTGGTAGGGGGAGGAGGGAAGGCTTCTGACAAGAAGGCTGAGGCTCCTTCCTAGAAGGCGCGGGCCTTACATCTACAGACAAGGCCCGCGCCTTCTAAGAAGCAGGGGTACCTCTGAGAAGCCTTCGCACCTCAACCTACCCCTCTGCGCGTGACTGACCTTCCCGCAATCTCGCACCGGCGGGAGGAGACACTCCGGGATCTCTCCCGGAGCGCTTCCTGAACTGGACACCGAGGCAGACCCAGCCGTGGCGAGCAAGGCCTCCCACGGAACCCGACAAAGAGAAGGCGGGGTAACAAATCATGGGTATCAGCAGATTCCCAGAGCTCCGACGTCTTTTTTTGTAGTATCCAAATATGCTTGCCCTATAGGCGTCCTACTAGCTCATCATCAGTAATTGGTCTTTAGCACCCCCCTTTTTCCAATGGCCCCTCCTTTTTCCAATGGCACTTGCGTGCTTGCTCTTGCGTGCTTGCTCTCGCTTACTTGCTCTTGCTTGCCCCTGCTTGCTTGCACTTGATCGCTGGCTCTTGCTTGCTTGTTATTTCTCGCTTGCGCTTGCTAGCTTCCGCTTGCTTGCTTGCGCTTGCTTGATTTTGCTCCTCCTGATCTCCTCCCGTCCTGCTCCCGTCCTCCTTTCGTCCTCCTCCCATCCTCCTCTCGTCCTCCTCCGGTCCTCCTATCTATTTGGATTCAACGCTGGCTGATATGCATTTTTTCTCACAACGTGGACTCCAAGAGGTCTAGACCCCTTCCCGTGAGCCGCTTTTGCACCTCAGGACGATGGCCCCCAGAGGCCGAACATTGTCCAACACCGCCCGTCGCGTTTTTGGAGCGAGGTTCGGCGGCGCGAGGTCCCAACTGAATCCCCAGAAGCCCGCGAAAGTGGCGACGGTTGCGCACTTCACAGCCCCTTCAGGGAGCCGCGAGGTCCCAGCTGGATCCCCCTGGCCCCCCCCCCCTCTTCCGGCGGCGCGCATGGGGGGAAGTGCGAGGGGGGAAGGTCTTCTCAGAAAGCGGCGGGGAAGGCCTCCTGCCCTCTGACAGACAGGACTGGACCTAAACGCTGTTTGGCTGGACTTCGGCTCTGTGTTTTGTTCTCCTTTCTGGCACGGGGGTAGAGGAAAGCAGGTAGAGCAAAACGAAGCACAACATGGACAACAAAAACGAAAAGCAACGTTCAGGTCCAGCCCTGCCGAGAAGCCAGGTCTTCCGAGAAGGCGCTCAGCGAACACTTCTAAGAAGGACAGGAGGCCTTCCGAACCTCGCGAGAAGGCCCGCCCCCGTCGGCACCCCCCCCGCCCATGGGATCGCCGCCGAGAGGTCGGGGACGCACTGCCACTCGGGTCCACGCAGCCCCGTGTCCAGCAGGCCTTGCAGGATCCTGCAGGGCCACGATCCCTCCAGGAGCCCAAGACCAGAGCACCCCTCCTCGTCCTCCTTCTCCTCCTCCTCCTCCTCCTCCTCGTCCTCCTCCTCCTTGGTCTGGGACGATCCCGGGCCTCCCAGCACGGTGGCCTGGGTCAGTGCAGCCCTGGCTCTGCAGAATCATGCAAGATCCAGCGCCCTGGCCGACCACCGTGTGCATCGACCCCTGCCCCTTGAGGCTCGAAAAGGCGAGGGAGTATCGGTACGGCAGGTTCGCGACGTGCCGACCTCGGCGTTGGTCCCTGACATCGCCAGGATCGTTCGACCTTGAACGATCGGCGGTTTCCGAAACGTCGGACCGTTCAGCATCAAACGATTCTGGCTCGCTACCACCGTTCAACGTTGAACGCCGGCGGCGGGGTCGCCGCCGGTCGACACGACGCGAACCCACCGTACGGGCACGCCCTTCTCCTCCGAGCGCCGCCATCACAGCCACCCCCCTCCTCGTGCGGGCGCTGTCCTGCGCAGGCACGACTGGGCCTCGCGGGCGGTCTGCATCCTCGGCTGGCAGTCCACCCGCAGACCATCGAGGACCTCGGCCAGGCCCCGGGTAACACGGAGAGCCCCGCGACGACAACCGACAGCACTTCGCAGCCGACGACCTGGTTCGCACCGACGGAGCCCCACGACGGCGACCTGGGTCGCGGCGCGGGTTGCCCCCTCCGCGCGGGGGCAAGCCCAAAAGGGGCTGCGCACACTGGCAGGTCGGCACAAAGAGGAGGCAGGGCGAGGGGAGGGCGGCCGCGGAGAGGCGACTCGAGCAGGGTGGCTCGCAAACACGACCGTGGACACGTGCTGCCTGCGGTGTCGACCGTTGTCCGTCGTCCTCGCCGTCCTCGGTGGCTAGTCGTCGAACGCCGTCTCCCTCGCAGTTGCGACCCACGCCAATGGCGCACGCAGGGTGCCGAGAAACTCTCGGGGCGGAGGCAGATGAGCGCCACTGCACTGCCCCATCCACGAGCCGATGCGGCACATGGACATCGCGCTCCCTCCCCAGACATGCGACGTCCTGACCTTTTTCGGAACGCCGTCCCTGGAAGTTCCGACCCTTTCCCTGGGACTGTTTTTTCATCCTGAGTCGTTGTTTGACGGCCCCGGGGCCCAGCGAGGGACCCCCCGGGGCCGAAATTAGCAACAACAACTTCCGCCCTGAATGTTTTACGGCGCGATCATGTCTGGGTCCAGAAACTCCAGGACGGCCACTCCGCCCCCCTTCGCAGCGGCGGCCTCTTGCGGAGCCGCGTCCTCTTGGCTGCCCCGTGGGGCGGCGAGAGGGGCGGCAGAGCGCGACGGCCAGGACCGCCACGGCGGCGAGGGCCGCCACGGCCGCCGCCGGGCGGCGGCTGCACGCAGGAGGGGCCCTGGGCAGGAGCGACCGTTGGCGGACGGACGAAGGAAGGGGGCGCACAGGGACATACTAGTACTAGATGTCCTCCTTGGAGGCGCGCGTCCAGCCCGAACATGTAGTATACCCATCTTGTAGTATATCGTTTCCCGAGCGGTATGGCCAGAACGCGCCCGCCACGACGCATATACTGTACTGTAAGATTTCTCGGTGCGCGCGTTCCCCCCAGGGGGCGACGCACATATAGTAAAGGGTGTTGGGGTAGTCGAAAACAAGCTGGTAAGCTTAGGTATGTGTTACGCTTTAAGCGTTGCCATATCCCAGGCTTTGGCTCATATCGCATGAGCAAGAGGGCAAGACGAAGCATGGGATCTGGAGTAAAGGATAGGATGGGCATCGTCAATGGAAAAGGTATTTTCCGATCTCTGATGCAAGTCGTGCGCCTCGGTGAGGCACAGTCACATATTGGCCGGGCCCGGCTTGAGCCAGGCACGGCAGCGGTACATGCTCGATTTATACCTCGCCTTTAACCTTCTCCGTTTAAAGTCGGAGGGGGAGGAGACGAGCAGGTACCGCACTTCTACATTATGCGGAAAAAACAGTGCTAAGCAGCAGCGGCTGCCTACAAGGAAAGGGCGCGCGAGTAGCCTCGCTACCGGCGAGTTTCCTCGCTACTAGAGCGCACCTGCCCGCGGGTTTCCCCGCTGGCTCGGGAGGCAGGGCCGTCCTGAGACGACCTGCCCGCCCTATACGGTGTATGTTTCTTCAGCTCGTGCTTGAAGGATTGCTGGCCGGCCATTACTTGTAGGAGCAACGCGCGGTCAATACTACCTTTGGTATGACCATCGGCAGTCATATCCCGCGTGTCACACCATTGGACGCTTTCCACGATTCCGCGTTCCATCATCTGGCGGATCCAGCTGATGTGCCCAAGCAGAGTACATTCTGTGGGCTTCTTCAGATCTTTGCTAGACAAAGACTTGAAGACAGACTCGGCATCAATAGTCAGAGTGACTTTGATACATAGACCACCCATTTCCAATATGTTCTTTAACTGTGTGGGGGTCAATGGTCCCGAGTGTAGCTCGTGGAGCGTTACAATGGTCGGGTAGCAGTCTTCCAAGTTGTGGGCTGCTGCCAGTGTTTCCGCAGAGTAGCTCGAACGCACCTGCAGTCGATGAGACTTGCAGTATGCGTCCACCAGGTGCACGACGGGTTTCCCCGCTTGCGTGTGGCCACGCCTCAGCAGGTTGGCCCCGCGGATACCATAGCCTTTGACTTCGTCGTCTTCATCTCCGTTGAGACGACGATAGCCAGAATCGCTATGCAGGTCAACTTCTCCTGTTGGAGTCATAGCTTGATATACGATCTTCTTCGGACCTGCCTGTAGTTTCCTGGTAACCGCGTTTAGTCGTCGTACCTGGATGTTTGTCGGTTCCTGGATACGTTGTAGTGAGACAACATAGACCATCAGCCATACCTGCGTGATCAACGCATAGGCTAGAGCGCCACGAAGACTGACGAACATATCAGAAATCGTCTTTGTCGCTTTGCTCTCAGGATCAGCTCCTGTGAGTTCTGGATGTGTGATAGGACGAAGCTGTTTGATGTATTCGTCCTGATCAAGAGTGACGCTCCCATCATCGGTCTTGTTGTACCGAACGGCACAGTTTGTGTATGTGTGCTTGTTCAGTTTGCACTTCCCAAACGTATCTTCAACACACTTGACATACTTGTCAATAGCCTCTTCCTTCCCAGTCATATTGATGTCATCAACGTGCTTGGCTGTCAAGAGGTTTGGGCTCATCTCGAACTCTTCGTCGTATGAAGTAGGCTGTAGCCCAAAGCTCCTAGTGATGGACCTGAGCTTCAGCGAGAATGCCCTGGGAGCATCCTTCGTGCCCGTCCCCGGTTTCAGACACCGGAGACAATGCTTTGATTCGTCATATGACTCAAAGCCTGGCAGTGTGCGAAGGACAGCTGCTGACCCAGGTGGTAGTGTGAAGCACACCACACGCTCTTTCTCGCCCGTTGCCGCGGCGAGCTCGCCATAGGTCAGTCCCTTCAAGAAAGCCATGTTGATGTCCAGGGAAGCGATGATCCAAGCTTTGTTGCATGCAGCAGAACTTGCGAGCAGTCTCTGGCTTGACCTCCTTGCCGTGCCAGAGAAGGTTTCGACATCAAAGGCTTCAAGGTCCATGAAGCCACGGAGTACCAAGCGTAACCTGATCGTCCTTTCCATTTCGCCCTTTTCGTTCTTGACAAACTTCCATTTGTATACGTAGCGTGACGTCATGATGTTAGACGCCTTGCTTAAGTCAGTCATCTGGAAGCATTTGTTGTCAAGCCAAGTCTTCAATTCTGTGTAGAGGGCTTTGGAAACTTTGACCGGATTTGCTTGGATGTCGGCCTTCGTGAGTAGATCGTCTTCCTTGACGACCACGGCACGTTTGGAGGCAGCGCTAACGTATACTCGCATAGTTGTGACGCTGCTGTCATCCAACAATCGGTGTTGCTGCTCGGACAGGACGACTTTGGACATGTCTGCAGTGAAGCAGAGCTCGATGTACTTCCCGTGCTCATCGGAGTCCAGATCATATTTGCTATCCGGATCCGTGGAGCATAAAGGAACGTAGTAAGAAGTGTCCATGTCGTATCCTGGCGGGTGACCCCGCTCCGGCAAGTGGCCTTGCACATCTTCACAGGTCGTAGAGACTAACACACACTGTGTGTCTGTCATGTATGTGGGAACTGTATGCATGACTTCCTCTGTGTCAGCTTCAAGGAGTGTTCTGTCATCCATCAGTTCAGCATACCACGACTTCAAGACAAAAGCATCCAGATCTTCTTCTGTTTCCTCTATGATGGTCGGGAGCCGACCATCGTTATCCGTAGGAGGCTCCTCAGGAGCAGCTGCTGGAGGTGATTCGCTTGGTGGTGGACCATCAGCGAGTTCCTCAAACTTAGTGAGGTCTTGGTCAAATCCAGCAGACGGCTTCCTGGATTTAAGACACTGGATGATGCGTGAGTGTGTAGATCCTGTGATGTCATAGATGTTCAAGGCAGTGCCATCAGCTTCATAGTAATGAAAACCAGGGGTCACATCATTATCATAGTGCACTAGTGTACAGCTGTCTGCATAGGGTGCAGCAGGCAACTTCGTCAGGCTCTTGGCAAGTCGTACAGCAACAACGTTTTCAATACGAAAGTAGTTGCGTATGAGGTACTGAAGAGCCAAGTGCACCTTAGGCGAAAGTCGGCTCGCAGCAGTCATCTGCAGCCGACCCTGTTTCGCTGGTAGATATCCGAAAGTCATGGCGGGTTTCCCCGCTGGCAGACCGGCAATAAAGGCCAATACTGTCCGAAGGGCCGTATTGTCCGATCCTATCTCGCGGACCATAAGTGCTTCGATGTACAGTGTGTGTCGTGTGTCAGGATACTGTACTCGCACTTCGCGACTGCCGACCTTCACGATGACCTGGCCTCGGTCAGGTTCGTTGCGGATGACCGGGTATGGACCACTCCATCCACCCCAGTCGTCTTTCGTGGTGGTCGGGCGATGATAGTCCACGAGATCTCCCTCTTTGTAGTGAAATTCACCCGTAGCAGTAGTCTTCGTACGGAGAGCCCTGTTCGTCTTGGCAACCGCAGTGGCCTGCGTGATTGCCTCCAGACTAACCCTCCTGATTGTTTCCTCCCTTGAGTGATCTGATGATTCAGCGGACTGATCATGATCCAAGACAGGGAAATCGGGAAGCATAGCTGGTTGTCTGCCATACAGCGCATTGTACGGAGACACTTCATTGTAGAAGGTAAATGCGTTGCTGGCAAACAAGGCTTCATGTAAGAGACGAGTGAAATTGAGAGGAATATTTAATCTATTCAATTCTTCTCCCATCACGTGTAAGAGGTGTCGCAGGATGCCGTTCCTAGCTTCGATAGTTGTAGCGTGTTGGCCACGCGCTCGAATACGAAGCTCTGTTCCCTTAGCCTTAAGGATGGCCTTTGCTGTATCATTATTCAGTGCTCCTTCCCCATCGGAGTATAAGATTTTAGCAGGGCCATGTTGCATCCAAGTCGTATGATAGGCATCGAGAACAGTATGCATGGCTTTATCAGGAATCTCTGTGCCAGCTGCCCAGCGAATACAACGGTCGATTATGTGAAAAACAATATGTTCCT